CATTTTTCATAATAAATAATTCATTTTATATAAATATATCTGATTTGCCATCTTTAATCCTGGGGAACAGAGTTGTACAAAGGTTCCATCACACCTCTGTAATTCTTTAGACTTAAATGGTTGACAGAGTCTGGGGCTAAACTGGATTCAGCTGCACCCAGGCTCTTCTCTGAGAAGGAGTTTAGAAAGCAACGGGGTCCTTTCTGCACCTCGTGACTCAAGGGGAGGGCTTCTCTAACAAACACGGACTGAAGTTCCCACTCCAGCATGGGTCTGTGAGAGCTACGGGGTCACAGAATATGCTGATTTGGAAGGGACCCACAAGGATCATTGAGTCCAACTCTTAGCTCTCCACAGGACATCCCCAAGAGTCGCAGCATGTGCCTGAGAGCATTATTCGAATGCTTTTTGAACTGTCAGGCTACTGCTCACTACTACCAGCTACTGAGTCTGTTCCCTGCCTCTGTTGGCTGCTCTCAGGTGGTCAGAGAGGAGTCCTTGCTCACCCCACCTGCTTGCCTTGCTTGTGCAAACTGTCTGTGCCATGCCCTCGGTGCTGTGCCACACCCCTGTTTGCCCACTTCTGTTTGCTCGCTCCAGTTCATCGCATTCCCTAGAGCCGTTTACATCTCCTTCGGATGTCACTGGCACAGCCCCCTCCTTGCCTGGTTCGCTGCCAAGGTTTTCTGGGTCCTATGAGACTCGGGGATGCTGCTCAAGTGTACCTGAGCTCAGGAACCCCCCGATACAGCTCAATCTAACCCCCACCCCCAGACTTACCTCAGGCATTGCTGCCACCACTGCCACCTCAGAGACTGGTCTGTGAGGGCTATAGGTCTGTGAGGGCTGATAGGGCAATGGGGATGATGAGGGCTAGGGCACTTGTGAGGACTGAGATGACTGTGGGGGCTGTGCCCTCAAAGCTCTCGAGGCCCCTGTAGACCTCACAGACCCCATAACCCTCACAGCCCCAACTGATCCCACAGTCCCCACAGCCCTCACAGATCACATAGTTCCCATAGCCCTCACATCCCCCATGGCCTCCAGAAGCCACATCATCCTCACAGCCCCCACAGTTCTCACAGCCCTTAAAATCCCCCTAGCCCTCAAAGACCCCTCAAAGACCCCATAGCCCCCACAGACCCCATAGCCCTCACAGACTTCAGTCACTGAGGCAGCAGCAGCAACAACTGAGGTAGGTCCAGGGTTTGAGGGCTAGATCGAGCTTTGCAGGGGGTTTCCTGAGCTCAGGGACACTCGAGCAGCAGCCCTGACCCTCCTCAGGACGTGGAAGCTCTCTGAGCAGCCAACCAGGAGAGGAAGGAGCAGCACAGGAGCTTCCGAGGGAGATTTAAACAATTCTAGGGAGCGTGACGAACAGCGGGCAAACAGAAGCAGGCAAACTGGGGCATGGCACAGCATTAAGGGCATGGCCTGGCACTGAGGGCATGGCAGTTTGCCCAGCAGTTGGTGCAGGCAGGGCAAGCAGCTGGGGCGAGCAGAAAGGGCTCTTCTCTACCACCTGGGAGCAGACAACAGGGGCAGCAAACAGACTCAGTAGCTGGTAGTTGTAGGCAGTAGCCTGACAGAGTTCAAGAAGTGTTGGGGCAATGCTCTCAGGCACATGGTGTGTGTCTTGGGGATGGTCCTGTGCAGGGCTAAGAATTGGACTCAATGATCCTTGTGGGTCCCTTCCAATCAGCATGTTCTATGATTCTGTGACCCCATAGCCCTCCCACACTCCTTAGCCCTCAGAGCCCCCATAGCTCTCCCTTATCTCGCAGTCCTCGCAAACTCCATAGCTCTCACAGCCCCCTTAACCCTTAGAGTCACTATCAAAGCCCTATTGTCCATATTTCAGCCCCACAGCCCCTGTCCCACCTCCACAGTCACTATCCAAGCCTTACAGTCCCTAATCCAGCCCTACAATGATTTAGGTTCTAGCTCCACAGTCCCTATCCCAACTGCAAAGTTCCTATCCCAGCCACAGTGAATTCAGCTCCAGCCCTACAGTCACCTTCCCAGCATAAAGCCCCTATCCCAGCTCCAGTAGCTATCCCAACCCCACAGACACTATCCCAACACCACAGTGATTCCATCTCCAGCCCCTCAAGCTTTATCTCACTGCCAGCTCTGCTTCAGCTTCAGATCTGCATCTTCCCACCACCAGGTGAAGCTGCTCCACAGTGGGATGGGGTGGGCACATCCAGCCTCCCAGAGATTCCAGCTGCTTCAAATGTGGTCTCCAGCATCCTTAACATCCTTAAAATGGCTTTACACAGGTCAGGATGTTGGGTGAAGGTAGAGCCTGGAATCCAAACTGGGCAGGTTTCCTGGCCTTTGACAGAAGTACAGGGAGGGCACTTGGCAGCAACAGCTCTGCTGTGGGAAAACCTTCACAGCTTTCCACTGGACTGGACAGACTGGGGCTCCAGTTGCCAGCTGAAGATGCTCCTTCCCCTACTGGTCCCTGATGACTGTCCAGATGAGATGGGAGTTAGTGGGAGCAGGAGCATCCCCCTGGAACAGAACCTCCCCTTGCACAACCACTGAGCCATTCCTGTGAGGGAGAGGAGACAGTGGGCAGCCCACCTTCCTTCTGGGAGTAGCTCTAAAGCCCCACCATCCTCACATCAACACCTCAAGAGAGGTCTTGAGTGGCTTCATCCAGAGCTTTAGACACTTTCAGACAGGCATCCCTTGGGATGATGATCCCAGGGAGGGAGCGTAGCCCCTCACAAGACCCATCTGGAGCATTTTCCTGGGCAAACCCTTCTCTCCAAACCAAACCTGCCCCTTCCTATCAGCTGCACACTCACATGAACTCAAGGATGTTTGCCTGCAAGAAGGTCTGGACGGCATCTGGTTTAGCTGGAAGAAAGAAGAACCTGGTAACTGAGCAGCTTTTCCAAGCTTCTCCATGTGAAGGGGAAACATACCAGGAGGTGGGCAATAAATAGAAGAGAGTCAGCTCAGTTTGCCCAGGGGAGGCCATGCTGGTACTCCAGGGAGTGCCAGCCCTCTGGGGGTGCCCATGGATGAGCCAGGATACCTAGAGCACCCATCCACATAGGAATAGCACCTGGGAGGAAATACCCCAGCACCAACACAGCATGCCATGGCCCTGCTGGCTGCCAGAGGTCAGGGGAGCCCAGTCCCACCTCAAACCAAGCTCTGGTGGAGCAGTGCCAGGGATTTACCCATCTCCACCATGCTCGGGTGGCAATAGATCTAGCAAGGGCTGATGCAGCCCACAGGCTTCTCACCCCAGCAGGGCTTGGGTCCTGCAGCAGCTTCCCTGCACCCCAAAATGCCAATCTCTCTCCCAACCAGCTCCAGCGCTCACCACCAGTCTCACGTTTCCCTCCAGCTCCCTGTAGCTCTCCGAGTTCCTGCTCCCCAGAGCTGGGGTGGGACTGACGCCCAGCAACTGGAATTGCAAAAGCAGCACGTGCATGGGCTGTGTGGGAGACGGGAGCCTGAAGGGGCAGGACACAGGGTTTTCATCCCTGTGGAGGCAGGTTTGCCCATCATCATCATTGGCTTGACCGAAGGCCTCCCCAGTGGCTGCAGGGAGATCTGGGGCTATAGAGGGGAGCTGGGAGGTGATGGAGCCACTGGACATGGACAGGGCATCAAGGGTCACTCCTGTGGGCTGAGCCAGGGTCTGGGAGCTGAGCTGGGAGCTGAGCTGGGAGCTGGCTACACATCCAGCTCCAGCAGAACTTGGCAGGTAGGATGGAGATGGCACACTGGTGGTGCCCAGCTTCGGAGTGATGCTCTGGAGCAGGGTTTGTGGAACTGGGGAGAGGCACAGAGCCTGGGCTGCCATGGGTGGGCTCTGGAGGTCCTGCTGGAATGGGTCCCACTGATGCTGTCCTGGACTTGCTGTGCCTGGATTCTTCTGCAGGGCAGCAGTGCCCAGAGGGTTTGGTGGTCCAACCCCTTGGCTTATCTTGAGAGCAGCCATGTGGAGAGGTACAGCAGATTTAGGCTGGGTCCCTCCAGCTCCTCCCGACAGCCCATCCCAGTGACTGCTCCATTCCCAGAGCAACCCACATACCAGAGCCAGGGCACCTTATTAAAATATCTTCCTTCTCTCCACCAGCTTCCTAGCTCAGGAAAGCCTGTGCCAAGCCTTGGCATCTCCCAGGAGGCTCCCAGGGCAGAGCAGGGTTGTAACCAGCCCTGGACTCAGACATTATCTCATTCTCTGCCCTAAACATCCACCTTGCTGCAATCAGTCTCCCCAAGGACAACCAAACTCACCAACCCACACACACCTGACAGCACCCAAGCCCTGGCTTTTATCTGATTTCCCAGGGGGATGTGCCTCCATTCCAGCTGCTCCCAATTAACACACAAACTCATTTGCAATCCCCCAGGTGAAGCTGGAGAGGTCTCAGCTTCCTTCTGCTCCTCATTAAGTCCTTGGCAGAGGAAGGAGGGTGTGTGCCTGCTCCTTTAGGCAGGATCATCCCGAAACCCTGATGATGCACCCCAAAACACCCTGTCTGGGGGGAGTGGGTTGTGGCAGTGGTGTTCCCCTGCTGAGCTCCAGTAATGTGGGCTGAAAAACGTGGTTGGGGCACCTGGCTTTTGGGATCAGGTAGATTCCATGCCTGAAGGAGGCTCACAAGGGGTAAGGTGTCTTGGGGGTCCCCACTGGATCAGCCCAGGGTGCATCCCTGAGCACCCCATGCTTTCCTGCCCAGTTTCTGGTGCTCAGACACTTCCACCAGCATCCTCTCCCCAGGCTGTCACCCTGGTTCTGGATGTCCCGCTCCCCTGGGTGATCTGTGATGGCACACTGGACACTGAATCCAGCCCCCTGATGATGGCACAGGGGGACTGGGCACATCACTTGTGGCTTCATGCAGGGAGAAGCAGGCAAGTGCGTCAGGTTGGGGATTTGGGGACCCTCCATCCCCAGAAAGGTCCTCTTGTGCCCACACTGGGAAGCAGAGACGGAATCACGGCGTGTCTGGAAACGAGCCAAACTCTTTTAATCAGGTTAAGAACCTCTTAGAATTGACATTCTTACAAAAAAATTAAATAAGGGGAAGGAACTTTCTTCCCTGCAATAAAAAGGTATAAAAATGACGTTATTAACAAATGATGCTTTCCCAATCACTGTGCACAGCCATGGCGTGGTGAGGGAGAGTGAGGAGAACAGCAGCATCCCCCCTTCCCTGTCCCATCCACAGCAAGTCCATCCCAATGGAAAACCACAGAAATCCCCCAACAGCAAACACGTCTTTTGGCTAAGTACAGTTTGGGTAGGTTTTTTTTCTTAGTTCAAAATAAATATTCCCTGTAGTGAAATAAAGAAATCCTAAGAATCCTTGTTTTGTTCCTCCATGCCCTGCAGTAGAGCTGGAGAAACACCTGAGTGATGAGTTGGCAAGGCCTCTGCTGTGCACCCTCCTGGACGAGGGGATGTTTGTATGTTCTGGTATGCCCATCAACCCTCTGGGATGGAAAAGATCCCTGCTTCCAAGGCCTGGGATGGAAAGAATCCCTGCTTCCAAGTCCTGGCAGCATGGCTCCTATGATCACCACATCTCCATTCAGGTGATCACTAAATGTGCATCTCCCGTGTTGTGTTCTCCACTAGAAGAGCATCTGGGACGTAAAGTAGTTTGGCTTTTCTTTAGGAGTCTTTAAATCTTTCTTGCAGCCTTTTAGTTGAAATAAAAAGACAAGTATAAATTACTGTATTTAAAGAAAAAAAACACCCAAAACACACGACCTGAAGGCAGCAGCTCCTTATAAAGGTAAATCCAGAACATTTGTAAAATGTCTTCATTTAAAACAAAAAAAATTAGCCCCGGGACTACAGAAGTCACGATTCCCTTGTGCTGATGTTGTGTAAGGTCTCTGTAGTACTTTAAAGATGAAAAACCAGAAGGAAGGTACATTTCTTGGGAATGGCATGGATAAAGCAGGAGAAGGGATTTAGAGGAGAGAGGAGGTAGGTAGGATGTTATCTTTGCAGTAGCCAGCCTTTTTCCAAGGCTGGGGATGGTGCTATGACCGTTTCCATGCTCCTCTTGCTCCAGATCCACTGGAACTCCAGCCAATTCCTCCCAGCTCACCAAGTCAGTCATGGATGGAGGTGGGAAATGCACTAAGAGATGACGTGTTCAAAGAAAAGTAGCTCCAGCTGCCACGAGGGGCTCGAGCCCATCCCTGCAGGGCCAGACACCACGCCAGCATCCCTGCGTGTGGTCCTGCATCACTAAGCTGTTCTCCACCCTGAGAACTGTCCTTGGAGGGTCCCCTGATGCTGGTGGGAACTGAGCACCTCCCCGTAGGGCTGCTGGTGATCTCAATATCCACAGCTCTGGAGATGAGGGACCTTCCTGTTCCCGTTCTCATTTAGCTGTTGTCCTTGGCACATTCCTTAGTGCCTCCTTTTTCTCTGATGTATCCATGGCTGTTCCTTTGCCATCAGCTTTCAGCGTCTGAGCCAGGATTACCTGGGAGAGGAAGGAGTGGTTAGGGAGGGTGGGATCTTCACCTTCACATCCCAAACATTCCCCGCTCCAACCTGACCCAGGGAGTGGAGCCTCTTCAGCCAGCTCAAATCCACAAAAATATACCTCCACCTCCACAAAATGACATATAAATCCCATAAATTCCTATAAAGCCACATGGAAGAAGAATTACCTACTTGGAAGGACGCTGGCTAGCTTGCGACCTCAAACCTGCAAGAAATAAAGTTGTTGGTAAAGGCCTTGAGCAGCAGCAGAAGGGTAGCTGGGTAGAGCAAAGAGGCCACCAGTTTGATGGGACAACCATAGGTGGCAGGTCTGGCACACTGCCCATGGCTGGGCAGAGGTGGCCTGGAGGTGACTTGACACCTCCTCGATATCCCCAGGATGACTTTTCCCCCTCCCAGCTCAAGCTTTTTCCCTCCACAACCTACAGGGAAAAGGTGGGCAGAATACACGGTAGGACAGGGATGCTGAGGCACCGGGGTGAGTGACAGATGCTCCCAAAAAAACAGCAGCATCTGAAAGGCAGGTGCAGCTGGAGCATCCCTGGGATTCACAGGAGATGCCGGGCTACCTACCGAGCTGCTGCCGGATGGCGTTGTGCCAGTGGAGGTTGAGCAGGTCTGGATAGATTTCAGGGAGCTGCTTGAGCGCCAGGAGCTTCAGCATGCGGGAGGTGCAGCTCTTCAACTCCAGGTCCCTCAGGTGCCTCTCCTCTGAGAGCGTGGTGGGACGCAGCTCCACCTTGTGCTTCTGCAGCACTAGGTCAACGGAGGTCCCAGGGAGCTTTGGGAAGAGTTTCTCCTTCACCACGTGGATGGGGATGAAGATGGCTCCTGCCCGGACGACGTGGGGGAAAGGGCAAGCGAACATGAAGGTCTCCAGCTGGGAGAGCAGGTTGGCAAGGAGCCTGGCCACGTCCTTGAAAGCCAGCCAGATCTCCTTGCCTTTCATGGGCTTCTGAGGAGTGGGAGCCTTGGAGTTGTTCTTGGACTTGGGCAGGGACTTGGGCATCTCTCCCAGCTCTTCTGCCAGCTCTGCCTTCTTCAGCCACTGCTGCAGGAGCTCTGGGGATGACTGTGACACTGACCCAGAAATCGTGTCACAGAGCCAGGTGTGCAGGGTGGCAAAGTACTGCCCAGAGGGGGTGTCTGGTGGGGGACTGACAAACTTCCTGGCCAGTGAGATCCCCTCCTCCCCTGGGGTGAGGGGGGCTTCGGGAAGTGGAGGCTGGGGAGGGTTTGGGCCTGAGATGGTGCTGGGCTGGGGGCCAGGTGGTGGGACTGGGGAGCTGCTGGATGGTGAGGAGGCTGGTGGGTTTGGTGTGGGGGTGCTGCTGGGTGGGCTGGGCTGGGGGGCCTGGGAGCTGCCATCCTGCTGGGGGGGCTCTGTGCTGGGCGTGAGGGACTGCAGGAGCTTGTATTTTTTGAACATGAAGGTGGCTGAGCTCTGGAAGTTGCTCCTGTCCCCAGAGCCCACCTCAAGCAGCTGGGGCTGGGCCCCCTCTCCCATTCCCACCTTGCCCCCGGTAGCCTCTTTCTCCTCCTCCTCCACATCCTCCTGGTCCAGCGTCCCCTCCACACAGCCAGTGAGCCCCTGGGTCTCCATGGCTTCCACCGGTCTCTTCTTCAAGCTGAGGTCCAGCACCATACCCTCACTGAGCAGCTCCCCAGCGCCCACTTCATCGAGGCTGCCCTCCTGAGACCCCAGCTCTTGGGACACAGGCTTTGGCTTTTTGGGGGCCCTCCTGTGACATCTTTCCCCTTGGCTCTGCACCACACCGCTGTCCGATCTCAGGCTGGACACCACCAAGGTATCTCTGAGGGAAGCAGGCTCCTGGCTGGGGCTCCTGTTTTGAGGTGGGGGGTCCCCCCACAGATGGTCCCTGCAGAAGAGGACATGGGCTGAGCCCTTGGCCCTCTCCAGGTACTCCTGGTAAGGTGCCAGGCTGAAGACATTGTGGATCACTGGCATCGGTGGAGAGGAAGAAAAAACTTTGGTGTCCCTCGGGTCTTCCACCCCCTTTGGGGGGGTTATGGATGAAGAAGGGGGGGCAAGCTCCTTGTTTGGATCCTTGACCTTGCAGTCATTTCCTTTCCCTGTGATGACAGGACACACTGGTCCCCCACACGGGGTGTCCTGTGGGGCTGGGCTGGTGTTCCTCCTCTCCAGGTATGGGGGCTCCTGCTCCCCTTGCCTGGGTTTCTCCCAGCTCCCTTCTCTTTTGGGAAATGTCTCCGTGAGCCCACTGGAGCCCCTGGACAGCTTCTCAGGGGTGCAGACAGGTTGGAAAGCGCTGCTGTGCCTTGGTGCCGCTCGCCACCGTGGACTTTCCGCCTCGTGCTGCTCACATCCCGGCTCCGGGGTGGCAAAGGAGGTGTGGAACACGGATTCATCGCCAGAGTTGAAGGTAAAACCAGGGTACCTGGGCAGCTGGACATCCCTTGGCAGCTCAGCATCCCTCAGCACCACCACTGGCTTGGAGGGACCAGCACCCGCTGCCCTCAGCACGTAGGGGTCCAAGGGGCTGGGAAAGTAGCTCCCTGGGGCTTGGGGTCTGAGGTAAGTGCCAGGAAAGGGCTTCCTGCTTTCCACAAAGCTGGAGCTGGGCAGGGCACTGGCCTCCCCCGCCCGGGGAGCCGGAGAGTGATAGAAGGGAGAAGCTCTGTGGGGAGACAGTGGGTAGTGGGGGGGTGGGTAGCAGATTTCTGGCCTCTCCGGGTTTGTCAGGCCAGTATCAGGCAGCTGGAGCTTGGGACAGGAGTCTGGGATGAGGCTGGGGACCTCTGGCACCTTATTCTGGCTGTGGGCAGTGGGACAGGTTGCTTCCAAGACCGGGGTGCTTGGGGGGGGCCTGTATTTATCAAAGGTGACATAGTAGTGGGATAAGGCACCGGGGGAGCCCAACTGCTCCTTGGCGGGCAGCACCAGGCTGGAAGGCAGCGGTGGGATGCTGGGCTCAGAGCAGGGACCCCTCCTGTGGGGCTCGCCAAGGTGGAGAGGGTGGGTGGCAGGGGGCAGAGCCCAGTTTGCCTCCCTTGGTGTCTGCTGCAGGCTCTCCACTCGTGTTCCCAGCGGCAGAGCCATCCTGGGGGCCAGGAAGCGGGCAGGGGCTCCATACACCGGCTTAGGGACTGCGAGTGGGGCCGCCTTGTTCACCGCCACCGGCTTCTTCACTGGTAAGGGGCATCTTGGGCTGTCCAACTTTTTCCTAGCCATCAGCTGCTCCTGCATCAGGCTGTCCTTGCCCTTCTGGGCGCCCAGGCTCTCCGATGGGTACAGCAGGAAGTCCACCAGAGACCCCTCGGCAGGCGCTGGCTGGCTCATGGCACCAGGGCCATAGTGTAGGTAGGTGGGTGCTGGGCTCCAGCGGGCCAGGGGCTGCTCAGGACCCTTGGAGCTCTGCAGTGGGCAGGCGAAGTAGGAGCCCTTGTAGTTGAAATGGTTTTCGGAACCAGGGTTGGGCACAGGGCTGGATTTGCCTTGGATTTTGCTGGACGGAAAGCTGGTGGTGGCCTCTGTCTCCAGCCGAGGTCGCTTGTTGAAAATCACGGGGTCCACAGAGTCCAAGACGTGTTTTGAGGCCATTTATACCTTGCTGCAGGTGTCCCGACAGGAGAGGTGAGCTGGCCTTCCTGAACAAGAGAGAGAATAAACCATGAGCAAATCAAGTCCCCACAGCCAGCACCCTGTGGTGGCACAGGATGACAGAGTCCTTCAGGAGCCCTCCAAAAGTCACCTTGCCTTCGTGCTGGCTGGAGAAAGAATGCTGGTTTTCATATGCACCCCATTTGTGATACTCAGGATCACACTGGAAAGCTAAAGCAGAGGAGGAGAGGTGTGGAAAACCCTGCTTGTCTCACAGCCAGCCTCTGCCAAGGGAAACAGGTATTGCTTCCCTTCTCCCATCCTCCCGATACCTGGCAGAGATCCTAAAAAAACCCACCCAACCCCAACTGAGATGCAGCATTTGATCATCAGGGTGGAAGTGTGGGATCTGGTCAGGCAGCCCTGTGTAAGCCAGGGTGGGAGCCCACAGCCAGTGGGGGGAATCCTGGGAGGCTGGCTGGGCATTTCTCCATCTGTCTCCTTGGAAAAGCCCTGGAAAGCTCTGACTGCTTTGGTTCCAAAGCCTCAATGAGTATCTGTTGCAGGCAGTGGGGAGCAAAGCTGGGTCAGCTCAGGTGAAGAGCCAGCAGACACAAACACAGAGTGCCCAAAATTCCCACCCCCAGTTTCACCTTTTAAAGTAATTTGAGGTTTCTCCCTCTGAGGCAGCAGTTCATCCTCTCCCTTAGGATGTCTTCTGACTTGGGGCTGCTGTGTGGTGGGTCTGGTCCACAGTGACAGGTGGTGAATGCCAGCAGGTGGAGCTGGCAGGCTATCCCACCATAGTCCTGCATCCTGGAGCATTCCAAGTATTCTCCCAGTATCACCTGGCATCACCCAGCACCTCCCCAGCACTGCCCAGCATCTCCTAAGCATCCCACTGAGACACATGAGCATCACAGGACTAAGGGCATCACAGGACCTTCACCCAGTACCCCCCAGCATCACCTGAACATCCTGTAAATCACCCAAGCAAGCCCCAAGACCCACCTGAGCATCACCGGCACAGCACCCTCCCAACATGGGCAAACATCCCCCCGTATTTCCCAGCACGGCCCAACATCCCCAAGCCCAGGGATGGACTCGCTGCAGCAGGATCTCCTCCATGTTATTTTTTTCCTTTTGTGACGAGAGTTAGTAGAGGAGCCAACGAGGAAATGGAGGAAAAGCACATGGAGATAAGACAAAAGCCACATCTACAGCAGGGGAAATGGAGCAGATAATGAGAAGACTTGTGGGGGGAGATAAGGGACCCGGTGGCGGTGGTGAAGCAGCTCTGCCTGGAAGGGAGCAGGGGATGATCTGCCTCTCCCCAACCCCAGCTCACCCCAAAAAAGCACAACTGAAGCTACACTCTCTGCTTATCTCTTCTGTTGGGTTTCTTATCCAAACTTCAACAATTTCTTACTTTCCAGTGAGGATGCTGCTTCCCTGGAATCCTCTGAAAACCCCCATCAGAGGGTCAGTGCTTCCTTTCTCACTTGCACCCTCGGAAGCAGCTCCCCCACATCGTTTCCAACAGCTTTATCCTCATGATAAATCCTCAGGGTCATTTCTAAGACACCCAGTACCAATTAAATTTGCCAGCACTTAGATCCAGGGAAAACAGCTCCCTTCAAATTGAAAAAAGCTCAGGGAAAATCCCAAACTGGGTTATTTTCCTTCCAAGAAGGATCTCTCAGGAGGCTGTTGTTTAAAGCCATCTCCCTAGGAGATGCTGCGTGGGAGAGAGATGCAGGCACGGGATTCCTTCCCAGCTGTGACAACGCCGAGGTTGGACAAGCCAGAACAGAAACCCAGGATCTTGTGACTCCTGACGTTTCCCCACTGCTTTTTCCCCTTTCCCCCAAACCCAAGGGATCTACAACCCCCACCCCCTGTGCGTGGGGACGTTGTGACACCAGCCCTGCCTTCACCCAGCTGATGCCACCGGGCATGATGCAACTGCCCTGTTTCACCCAGATCCGACTTCCAGCCTTGCTGGAGGGATGCCCCGCGGCCCGAGCCAGGCACTTGGAATCTCTGATGTCTCACGGGGTTAAGCTCATTAACCTCATTAGGGTGACGACACTCCTGGGCTCACTCTTTCCATGAAATCCACCGGGGCTTCGCTGAGGGGGTGCCATCCCTACATCTGCACCATCTCAAGAAAACAGCTCCAGTTTTGCTGTCACCACCAGCTTTTTCCCTCTGGGACTATCCCCTTTCAGCCGGTGGAGGTGGAGGAGGAGAGGGATAAGTGGGAATCAGGGCTGGGGGGATGCCCGAGTGAACCCAACAAATGCAGTCAGCAGTTCTGAAACCCCACAGCTGGGAAAAGCAGGACGTGGATTAAACACAACCCGTTATTCATCTTTTTTTAAAATGCTTTTTGATTTTTTTTTCCCCCCTTCCTCTTCTCGGGTTTGGTCAGGAGGGAGTAAAAGTAAAACCAAATGCAGAAAAACACGTGCTGCCCGAGCAGCAAAACCTCCCTGATAAGCTCCCACGGGCCTCAGAAAACTTTTATCTGCCACGTTTCGGGTGTCCAACGGGCACAGGAGGGCTTCTGTTCCCCCTCCCCGAGGCTCCTTGGCCTGCCAAGGCTGCTGGGAACACTGTAGACATCTCTTTTCTTCTCCGACAGCTCCCAACAATGCGTCCGTGTCTGTTATCAGCGGGGCAGTCAGGCGCAGCACACGGCTCCCCGGAATTTCCTGCCCAGGATGCGATGTCCTAAGTGGGAGCCTCTCACCGCAGTCTCCCGCCTCCTCCATCGCCACGTGATGCCAAGAAAAAGCCGCCAGCTCTCAGCCAGCCCGCAGGACTCGAGCAACAGACCCCCAAAAGCTCCTAAACCCGCTGGCACGAAGCATCCCCAGCCCCACGGAGCCACCCCCGAGGTGCCGCGGCGGAGGGTCGCTGGCGGGGGTGCAGTTCCCCGGGGTCCCCCCTCGACCAGCGGATTCTCCACCGGTAACGGGGCGCATTCCCGGCCGGCGGCAATCCCGGTTTCACAATCGCGGGGACTTTTGGGACCCAGCCGAGGAGGTTACTTCTCCCGTCTCTCCACCTTTCCCATCTCTCCTGCGGGTTTGGATGAGATCACCGGCAACGCTCCCACCCCCCGCTTTGATCATTCGGGGGAACAAACAAGAGGCCTCAGCGGTCCCGGCTGCCTCATTCCATACCTTGCCCCTCTTCCACAAAGTTTGCAGCTCCTGAGCTTCTCCCAGTTGGGCAAATGCCGAGTCAGAGCCTTCCCTTGGACCAAGCCAGCTGGTTTTTAAGGCAGTATCCTCATGGAATGCGTGCACCAAGCCATGGCTTGTCTGAGAATTAAGTTCAAAATCTCCAGGAATATTCACTTTCATATAAAAAAAAAAAAACAAACTTCACGGAGCATTGAGTAGCCGCCAGAAGGGCTCAATTCCTTACTATTTAGGGGATTAAAACACCTCCAAAACGCATCGATCCCGTTCCGAACCATCGATGTCACGTCCCAGGTTGGCCACGGTCAAGGCTGGGGGGCCCCGGTGCTCGCAGACCCCTGCCAGGACACGAGGTACGGATGCGGCGGGGGGGGCAGAGGTGGCCGTGTACGTCCTTCTGTCCCCTTCGCACACCCACGGCCACCCCTTTCGTGTGAGCAACGCTCCGGTGACCCCCAAAATAAGCCTCTCGCAGGAAGCTAAGCGCACTCACGCTGCGCATTAGCCGCATGATCCAAAGTGTCCATAAATGGGTAAAATCCCGGGATCCGGAGCCTGCAACCCGCTTTTCCCTGCACGGCTCAAGGAGAACCAGACGATCCCGAAGGCGGCGTGCGGGGAAGCGAGGGAGCCCTCCCCACCCTGTCCCAGGGCTTCACCCGCCGAGGGAAGCGCCAAAGCAAGCGGGGAGCTGGCTGGGGGTCCCCCCGCCCCCCCTGCCCCCCCACATCCCTCCGCTCTGTCCAGGCCCCTGCGGGACGCGCATCCCTCCGGCCCCTCGCTCACCTGCGGCTGCGGCGCGGTGCCTCTCCCGGAGCATCGCTGCGGGGCCGGGGGGGGGCTCGGCGGGCACGGAGGGGAGCGCTCGGCCGGCAGCCCGCGCTGTGCGGAGGAAGTGGGAGGAGGAGGAGGAGGGCTGGGTGTGCGTGTGGGCCGGCCGGAGGAGGGAAGGGGACGGGACGGGACGGGACGGGACGGGAGGGCGCGGCGCAGCCACACGTGCAGTCAGCCCGTGCGCTCGGAGCGGGGACCCCCTGGACAGGCACATCCCCCCCACACACCCGCAGCGGGGAGCCCCTGTAGGGCCGAGTCCCCGTTTCAGTAAGCCCCCCGGTGTGGAGGAGGAGCCGCACGGGGAGCCCACGCTGGGGGGGAGCCTCATTAAGAGGAGCTCTCATTGTATAGAGCCCCAATTAAGGAGATGCTCACTGCAGTTAGTCCATTAAGGGGACCCCCCATTAGGGAAGACAGCCAATAAGCCCCCCCCCCGCCCCTTACAAGCAGTCCCCATTATGAAGGGACCCTCATGATGGGGGCCCCCATTGCAGGCAGGCTCCATTAGAGAGGACCCCCACTAAGAGGGGACCCCCCTCAGTGCAGGTGTGGAAAATTAGGCAGAAGTAACAGTTAGTGGAACGTTGAGAGCTCGGGAACAAGTCGATGCGGCCCAATCCAGTTTAGTGGTTCTACCTTAGTAACAAAGTGTTCAAAAACATATTGCCCAATTTACATAACCAGGCCGAACAACTTCGTATGTAAGACTTTGCTGCTGAATCCGTATTCCCGGGTTAATAAATATGAGCCAGGTATGCATATCCCCATAAGCATCCCGGGCCATAGTCTGGCTTCGTAATAAAGTAATGCCTGCTTCTTAATACTACACTGGTGTTAAGGAGTTTTATTCCCGAATTTCAGCGATGCGGGCATCCCCATTAGGAAGTGACACACACACACACACACCCCCGCACTGGGGGGATCCCCTGATAAAGAGGAGCCCCCGTTACAGGGAGACCCCTCCTCACAGAGTTATGGGCACCCTCTCAGCACAGGGATGCTCCCCAAGCCTGAGACCACCAGGACACGGCCAGGGGTCCGGGTCTGGCCAGACACAAGTCCATCTGTCTACACAAAATCACTTTACCATCTCGTAAGCAGGGACGGAGGGAAGCTGGCAGGCTGGGCTGGGCTGGGGACGGCTCCTGAGCTTCACAGTCAACCCCCACCCCAAAGAAAAGCCCCTCCTCCTGGATTTAACCCCTGCCAGCCCCAAGTCCACTCTCTGGCGCTAACACGTGGTGTTTATCTAAGGAGTCGCGTCTGGAAAAGTCCACCTGTCACCCAAACTCGGGAATGAAAACTCCTTAACACCAAGGCAGCGTTAAGAAGCAGGCATTACTTTAACCGGGCACCTGATTCACGTGGGGCAACTCTGACTGATGTGCACGCCTGGCTCAGGACTATACGTGTCTTTATTAGCTGGAGGTACCCATATTAATTGAGAAGTGTTACAATTTGTTACTTAAGGCGGCCACAGAGCCCCTAAAATGGATTGGGCTGCACTGACTCGTTACCAAGGCGGCTGCAGAATCCCTAAACTGGACTGGGCCTTGACTTGTTACAGAGCTCTCTCAGCGTTCCACATGACGTTCCATTAACTGTCACTTCTGTGTAATTTGCAACACACGCAAACATTCCCCGACTAATCATTAACCCCCATAAAAAGCACGTTGTGCTGGTTTAAGAGTCAACCAGCAGGGGAAATGAACTCAACTCAAAGGAGAGA